TATATATATATATATATATATATATATACACTATATCTGAAACAACATAATTATCACCAAAATCCATATATTAAAAATAAAATAAATAATCCTAATCTATTTTGCACTAAAAATTGTTACTTCATATTTTCCCTTTTTCAATTGCTAATCAAAAGGGTCATGTTTCAACCTATTGCTGACGCACAGCAAATTCAGCTATGACCTTATGTGAACTCTGCTTGTAAACAGGATATCCTTGTTGGTTTGTTGCGCCTGCGAAAATGTGGCCGTAACACTACTTGTCCAGAGCTTATGGGGAAGTGCTCTATTGTTCGTGAACTCCACGTTTATGGAACTGCTGTACCAGTTCATGGACGTGATGCTGACAAACTACAACACCAGGTAATAATATCTTATTAATATGGAGATGACATGCAACATGAATAGAAATTTTGAAATGATTTCATCATATTAAATGGTCTGATTAATTCGTTGACTCTTTTTTTTTATAATAATTCTGGAAGCTGCTAAGTTGATGAATATGCTATTTTTTAACCTTGTATGATAACCGAGAAAAAGATACATGCTGATATTCATACTTGGGGTTTTCTTGATTTAGTAACAGCATTTTTTTTTCTATTCTTCTACTTGACCTTCTTTGGACCAAAATTGTTAACAGGGTTATGGTACACTTTTAATGGAGGAGGCAGAGCGTATTGCTTGCAGAGAGCACAGATCAACAAAAATAGCTGTAATTTCAGGGGTTGGCACACGCCATTATTACAGGAAACTGGGATATGAGCTTGAAGGACCTTATATGGTGAAATATCTAGTGAAATAACATACTAGTTATTTCGTATGTAATTTTGTAGCATGAGTTAATGAATAATGTTTTATATGTCATTCACTAGACATTCAGTTGTGCAGAGGTTCCCTAACTCCCTCCCCCCCAGTGCTCCCTCGGCTAGATTGGTTTTCATAATTCTCTAATTTTCTTTCGAGATTTAATGGATATATTTTTTTATAGGTTCCTCTTGAAGTTGCATCATCAATTGCACAATTTGCACTACCATATGTTTGACTTTACCTTTCATTTACTTCCTCACACTAGTTTGTTAATATAGGAATGTTTCGACTTCCTACAAAATCTCTCTCTCCACTGGGTGAATTGATAATTAAGAGCTCAATAATAAAGAGGGTGGATATATTTTCAGACGAAAAACAATTTGGATCCTCCCAAAAAACAGATTAACCAATCTCACAGTGAGTTGTGACATTAGTGATGTTTGGGTTAGAAATTGTAAGATTCTATTTATTGTAGATTATTTTTTATAACAAGTATTTTGACAACATTAACCATGTTTGAGTGTAACTTTGGAGGTCTCAATTGCGCTTGCGAAAATGGATATCGTGCATTACTAATGCGTTAGAGGTAGGTGAAAAAAAAAACGTACTTGTAAGTATTCGTGATAAAATCTATTATGAATTTTAATTGAATAATTAAATAGGCATTTACTTTATAATAAGGGTTGAAAAACATAGTAAAGTACTTATATCTACAGGTATTCATATTTTAAAATTATTAAAAATACTCTTAAATTATCTATAAATTAATTTATTTTAATACTAAATATGTGTCATAATTATTAATTTATAATACAAGTATATATTATAAAATTATTTTTTAATATAAATGTTTTAAAATTATTTTTTTAGTTTTATTTTATTTCTTACTTTTAAAATTAAAATTTTATATTTTATCAAATATTCACAAATAGTGATAAATATTCATAAATATATAAAAAAAATTATAAATATCTGCACTAATGAGAACCGGTGACATTGAGTTACTAACCGCACGTGTGTCGTTGCTATCCTTGATTAGAGGTGCATAGGAATAAATACAACAGCAATATTGACGGTATCCAAATAAATATGCATGGAAATGAAATAAATATTTTTTCATCTTTTTCCATTTATATACCAAAACAGTGTTATCGCGCCTAGCTAGCCGATACGTAACGCGTCTCGTTAATCTCTGTAGACATTTAGATGCTCCCAGTCGCGCCATGCTGAAATCAACCTTCACTCCCATTTTCTGGGCACTCACCCCCAAACCCAAACCCAATTCCCCAAAACCCCTCTCTCACTCAATCACCACAAACAGCACGCCACTCGTTCGACACAACGCCTCTCTCAACCCCGCCACCGCATCACCCCCTTCCTCCGCCTACATCCACCTCCCTTTCTGCCGCAAACGCTGCCACTACTGCGACTTCCCCGTCGTCGCCCTTGGCTCCACCTCAACCCACCCCCACAACGACCCACGCGTCTCAAACTACATCCACTGGCTCTGCCGCGAAATCACCGCCACCAGAGCAGGCCCACCCCACACACCACTTCAAACGGTCTACTTCGGAGGCGGAACGCCCTCGCTGGTGCCTCCTAGGTTGGTTTCCTCGGTGTTGGAGACCCTCACGGCGAAGTTTGGGATCCGTGAGGATGCTGAAATATCCATGGAAATGGACCCGGGCACGTTTGACGCTGAGAAGATGCGGGAGATGGTGGTGTTGGGCGTGAACAGAGTGTCTCTGGGGGTTCAGGCGTTTCAGGAGGAGCTCTTGAGAGCGTGTGGGAGGGCCCATGGGGTGAAAGAGGTTCATGAGGCTATTGCTGTTGTTAAGTCATGTGGGGTTCGGAATTGGAGTGTTGATCTCATTGCTTCATTGCCTCATCAGACTCGTGACATGTGGGAGGAGACTCTCACCCTCACTGTTGAGGCGCAACCCACTCATGTTTCGGTTTATGACTTGCAGATTGAGCAAGGGACTAAATTTGGGCGCTTGTAAGTGATGCTTGTCATTTGTTGTGTTGAGCACCGGGGAGGTTATTACATATATACACACGGCTCTACATTGGTGAGATATTGTCCGCTTTAGGCCTAAGCCCTAAAGGTTTTGCTTTTGAACATCACCTAAACGACCTCTCGACCAATGAAGACAATTGTGTGTATATAAACCCATAACCATCTTCTTGTTTTACATGTTGCACTAGCACTAGCAAATTACTTTTAAGTGGGAAAAATGAAAAAAGCTACTCCGTAAGCTAATTTTAGCTTATCTATAAGTTAATGTATAGAGGTTTTTTTCTATTAGCTTCTTTAAAATTTTGTTTTTAACTTATGAGAAATTTATTTCACTTTGGAAGTGTTTCTGGAGAAATTTATTCAAGGAGAATCTTATTTTATAATGATTTGGAGCCTGAAGGTGAACATGTTTTCAGGTATTCACCGGGGGAATTCCCAATGCCTTCTGAAACGCAATCAGCTGAGTTCTACAAGATGGCTTCAAGAATGCTTGGTGATGCAAATTACAATCATTACGAAATCAGCAGCTACTGCAAGAGTGGATATGAGTGCAAACACAACTTAACGTATTGGAAGAACAAGCCTTTCTATGCCTTTGGCCTTGGCTCTGCTAGTTTCATTGGTGGGTTGAGGTTTTCAAGACCAAGGAAGGTGAATGATTACTTTAATTTTGTGCAGAATTTGGAAAATGGATTAGTAAATACCTCTGTTGATGGCCAAATTCATGGCAAGGACACAGCCATGGATGTGGTGATGCTGTCTTTAAGAACTTCACAAGGCCTAGACTTGAAGTGCTTCCAAGAATCATTTGGCAGCTCTGTTGTTTTATCTTTGCTTGAGGTTTATAAACCTTATGTTGAGAGTGGACTTGTGGTTTGCTTGGACGAGCATAGGAAAAGCATTAGAGTAGATGACCTTAATAATGCAGAAAGGAGGGTGGCTTATATAAGGCTAAGCGATCCTGAAGGTTTCCTCTTATCAAATGAGTTAATAGCCCTTGCTTTTGGGGTTATTGACTCTTGGAAGGATTTCCCTTCATACCAAGAAGCAGAAGCTACTTGAAAGCAGGACTATATCTGTTAAAGGAACACACAAGTTATAGCTGATGTTATTTACACAATTATTTTGTGCCTATATATGCAGAGCAAATATTTTTTTTTGGATAAACAAAGGTATCCATTAACTAAAAATTAAGGATTAATCTTTTAAGGTATCGGGATCTATTTAAGAGATTGATTTCCCCCTCCCAACAAGTATTTGTTGCAAGGCGCGGATGGATATTCAAACACTAGTGATGGGCATTCATACATTTGGTTGACATAGATCACATGATATTCATAACAAAGTAGTAGGCTATAGTAGCTGATGAAATGAAGTCTATTACGATTAGCATTCGAATCTCACTCGAATGAACTTGTCAAAACGTACCCCCTTGAGAATCATCTTGTGAAGTTGAAAGGCATAATTACCAGTGTATAACAAATTCCAAACAGTAATCAGGTGGGACAGAAGAGTAATTGTCATATGAACTTTGCAGAGGATGGATTAAAACCAAGGGGTTACGTAATTGATATATCAAGTAATCTTGATCCTCAAACTAGTAATTTTGGGAAGTAAACTAGAATGAGATCACTGAACAAATAAATTAGGTGAACCAATCACCTGTTTCTTCATTTGGCACAAACAGTTTTAGGGGGTGTATTGGTTTAGGATTTCATAGGATTTTAAAAGACTTTTTTTGAGTAAAAAAGTCCGTTGGTATTCAATCAAGACTTTATATCACTTAAAAACAATCTAGTGGTATTCAATCAAGATTTTTAAGATTTTTTAAAGAGTCTATTAAAACTCATTGGTATTCATTTGAGACTTTTTACAACTTAAAAATAATCAATGTATTCAAAAATATAGGGATTTTAAAGGATTGTTGTATTAGAGGGATTTTGATAGACTTTTTAGTGGTATCTATAAGTACCAAATTCATAAAACAATCTCATCCAAACCCATAAGATTTTGGAGGATTGTTGTATTAGAGGGATTTTGATAGACTTTTTAGTGGTATCTATAAGTACCAAATTCATAAAACAATCTCATCCAAACCCATAAGATTTTGGAGGATTGTTTGAAGTGACTTTTTAAGTGCTTCAAGGAATTTCCAAGTGGGTTTTTCATCTATTTTTTTTTATGTTCATGTCTTCTCCATTTTTTTTCTCTTGTTAATAATACTACACTACTACTTATATATAATACTGTATTACTGTTTTCATTTCATTCTCCTATTTGATGAAATTTCTATACGTAAATGATAGTGTCATTAACTTGCTTTATTTTTCTCTCCGTTCTCTTTAATTGACTTGCTCTATTTTGGTCTATTTAATTGAGATTATTCCTCAGTTATATAACACAGAAAACACTTGAAATTTTAACTTTTAAGTAATAATTTTTTTTATAACACGCATCAAGAAAAGGGAATGGTGAAAACTAAAATTGATATCATTATCTCTATAATTAACTATAGATCTTCAAGACCTTGTAATCAATTTAGATTTATTAGAACAATATATATATATATATATATATATATATATATGTGTATGTGTGTGTGTGTGTGTGTATGTGTTTGTGTCTGTGTCTCATTGTGTGTGTGTTTGTGTCTCATTATTGTGTGTGTGTCTGTATCTCTGTGTCTGTGTGTGTCTGTGTGTTTGTGTGTCTGTATCTCTGTGTGTGTGTCTGTGTTTGTGTGCGTGTGTGTGCGCGTGTGCGTATTGTGCGTGTGTGTGTTAAATAACTGTAATATGTAATCATTTTGATATTGTTAGATAATTATGCAAATGGGTCAACTTTTTAGAATATATTTTATGATGTAATGATTTGAAAGTAATTAGTTGTTACTGTTGTATGAATGATGTAGTTTCTGTGAGGATGACAACTTTTTATTTTTTATATATACATATTTTTTTTTATAATTATTTAATCAAGTAAATGAAAAACAATGAACTAAAAATATTTTTAAAATATATTTTTATTAAAAGTATATTTTTTTATTTAGTTATAAGAGAGTAGGGTAGTTGTCCCACTATTTTTTTTAATCATTTATAAAATTATAAATAAAATATTTTAAACCACAAATTATAAAAAATTTGAAATGTTGTTTAGAATAATTTTTAGCATGTGTGGGATTACATAACTTTCTTCGTAAAGAATGTCATTATGATGAATTTTCATTTGAAGTGATGGACAAACCTTCATCTTCAACATTACTAATTAATGAAAATCATAATTTTAAGCCTATTATTAAAATAAAGGAGCAAGAGCGAAAAAATATTAATGTTTTGAGGACTAATATAGCTATGAATATATGGGTGAATTCTATTTAGAACGACATGATATTACAAAAAATTATAATTTATCCAGACATTATTATTTTTTTTTAATTTTTATATTTGACTCTTTTTAAATTTGAATGCATGAAAAAAAATCTTGAATTCTTATCTTATGTAAAAAATTTATGAAATTCTGCAAAGTTCACAAAATCTCGCAGAATTCATTAAAATCCTAACTTAAGTCTTGCATAATCCATTAAAATCTTTATTGAAAATCTTGGGAATCTTACAAAATCTTAAAAGTCATGAAAATCTTGCAAAATCTTTTAAAATCTACAGGACTTTTTTCAACTTAAAAAAGTCATTTATTCCTTTTGTCCCTCTTGTTTAGTCTCATTTTCTTGCTTTTTTCACATTACTTTTTGTGTGCACATTGTCCTTTTTTTTATACTGCAACAAGCTCAATGTGTATACATTGTCCTAGTTACACATCCTAACGTTATTCAGTTTACATTACTTAATTCTCAATTTACCTTGTTATTCATCTGAAAAGCATCTAGTTCTATCGAATCTTTTTCATTTATTCTATTATTCACTAGTGTACTTTGGATTATATACGACATATATATTGTTTTTGAATATTTTCACAAAATATTTTAACTATTTAAATTTTTCTTAAAATTTGTATTAGGAATTATCTATTAACAGTTAAGAAAATTTTGATTTTTTCTATCATGGATTGTAAACTATAACTTTTTTTAGTAATATTAGTTTATTATACACACATATATATATATATATAATAAACTATTTTTTTAAAATACAATAAATGAGACAAATAAACATTAATTATATGTTTGTTAGGATAGTTTTTAAGTAATTGTTGTAAAATGATATTTCAATCAAACTACAAATGAGGTAAAATTCACTTTGGTTATTTGTACCGTTTGAAAAAAAATAGTTTAGGACTATTAATTAGAAAATCTTAATGCACAAAAAAAAAACTAAAGTGCATTGATTAAAATAAAAATTAAATTAAAGGAATAATGACACATTTGACTATTTATTTCTAAATTAAAATCTGAGCTCAATCAACGTGTACCATGTATGATATATAGGTTGTTTTTGAATAATTTTATAAAATATTTTAAATTTTAACATATATGAATTTTATATAAAAAAATTGAATTAGGAACTATAAACCGAAAACAATGAGAATTTTGTGCTAATTAACTAAACATTTTTAGGAGAAAAAGTAAAAATAAAATTTTAAACTAAAAATATGGTTATTGAAAAAAAAATCCTGTTTACGCCAAAAATTGAATCCAAATATGAATTGGTGTTTTCGGCGGAGGGTCTAAGAAAGGGCATTTTCTACGCGGCGCGGGGTTTATTGCGTTGTGAGAAGAGAAGATGGGGAAGAAGACGAAGAAGCCCGGCAAAGGCAAAGAGAAAACAGAGAGGAAAACCGCGAGAGCCGAGGAGAAGAAAGCTCGCAGGGAAACCAAGAAGCTTTCACCCGAAGACGACATCGATGCCATTTTGGTACTCTCTAATCTCATCATTACCTTTCTATTCCACTTCGTAGTAACGAACTTGTATTTACATTTCTTGACTCCACGCAGTTGAGCATTCAAAAAGAGGAGGCCAAAAAGAAGGAAGTCCACGTCGACGACAACGTTCCCGCGCCTTCTCCTCGTTCCAACTGCACGGTAACTCCTCTCACTCACTCACTCACTCACTCACTCACTCGCTCGCATCTCATCGTTTTTCCGTTTTTCACGACTCGCCTCGTTTAATTACGCAGCTCACTGTAAATCCTTTGAAAGAGACCGAGTTGATTCTCTACGGCGGCGAATTCTACAACGGAAACAAGGTTACGAGTTTTAACTTGAACGCGATTCTGTTTTATTTGTTGAGCGACTTGTGTGATGTATCAATGTGAGTTTGTGCAGACCTTCGTGTACGGCGATTTGTACCGCTATGATGTGGAGAAGCTGGAATGGAAATTGGTTTCGAGTCCTAACAGTCCTCCTCCTCGCAGTGCTCATCAAGCGGTTGCGTGGAAGAATTTTGTTTATATTTTTGGTATTTACTTTTACTTTCGTCTTTAACTGAGCCAAACGACATTGCATGATCCATGTAGTCGACTTCACCTAGTGGAATAAGGCTTTGTTGTTGTTTTTGGCTGTTCAGAGTTGAAAATTTTGTGGTGATGATGGTTTTAATTTTGTTTGTGCTTTTGGTGGTGAGTTTACGCCTCACAGGTGAAATATTTGTGTGGTGATGGTTGCTCTATTTTTGATTGTGGTTTAGGTGGGGAGTTCACATCTCCGAACCAAGAGCGGTTTCATCACTACAAGGTTAAGCTCATTGTTGCTTCTGTTGTGTGATGAGAATGTGGTTTGCTGTGTTGTGTTGGATTTTGACTGTTTGGTGATGTTGTTTTTGAATGTTGATGTGCTTAGGATTTTTGGATGTTGGACCTGAAAACGAATCAGTGGGAGCAGCTTAATTTGAAAGGGTGCCCCAGTCCACGGTCAGGGCATCGAATGGTATGTTCTGGATCACGTGAAGATGCACTCATTGATTTACCAGTAACGGTGTCAGATTATGAAATCTTTAATCAAATAGGTTGTGTTTGACATCAAAATCAAATGCTCAAAAATGTGTCTTGTGCACTATATGACATCAAATACCCAAGAATGATGAGTTATGTGAACTGGTAAATCTTAGGTTCCCAACACTAAATGACTCAACATCAAATACTCAAGAATGATACGAGTTCTGTTTATGAACTGCTAAATCATAGGCTCCCCGTGTCTTGGTTATCTTCTATATTTTCTTCTATTATTTGCAACAGAAATGTGAAAATAGAATCACAACATATGTGAACATAGCATATTTACATTATAGCTTTATTTGGTTAATTTCAATGTAATATTCTTATTTTGAGAGGGCAGTAAGTATTGCCATGTCAGAAATTAAATAACAAAAACAATCTATTATCTTGTTGCTGAAG